CTAACTTTCTGTATCTTTGATGCCACATCTTCAGATAATACAACCTCAACCTTTTTGGTTTCCGTGAGAATGAAATGAACATCTCAGGCTATAGAGAGAATAGAATGGATAAGCCACTTGCCTTGCATGCTGTTAACCCTGACTTGTTCCCTGGTAATCACATATGGTCCCTGAGTAAAGAGCCAGGAGTAAGCTCTGAGCATGGTCAGGTTGACCCCAAGCAGATAAACAAAATACATACTATAAACATCTGTGTATGCAGCTCACAACACTGGTCAGGCTCCTGATCAATAGGCGTATACTACCAATTGTGATATGTTCCCTGTGGAGCCCTAAACTGATTGGTTCCTGCTCTGTGACTTGTTGTGGACCAAAAGATAACCAGCCATTGTCTCGGCATGTTTCTGATTTGTTAGATTTGTGGTCCCTTCCTTATACACAGTATGAGGAATTCACTGATTCTCTTACGTCTCTGTGCACAAACAATGGCTGTAAGATGGTTCCATTTCTGCAACTATATATGACCTGTTTGTTGGTTGTCAGGTATTGAGAAACGTTCCTGCTTTTCATTTTCTTTTAACTGGGGTGGTGGTGGTGGTGGTGGTGGTGGCAGTGGTGGTAGTCTCTGTGTGTGTGTGTGGAGTGTGGGTGTTGGACTGCAACCCAACTGTGTTCAAGGATGTTGTCAGGAATCACAAGCTTCGGGGTGAAGCTTGGGGGACCATATTTAACGTTGGGAATCCAACCCAAGGCAAGGCTGCTGGGGTAGAATAAACTAGGGAAGACTGACTTCTCTGAGGAAAAAAAAATTAAGCTAAGACCTAATTCCCAGCTCAGGACGTTTGCCTTGCACGAAACCAACATGGCCGACCCGAGTTTGATTCCTCCGCCCCTCTCGGAGAGCCCGGCAAGCTGCCGAGAGTATTCGATATGCCAGACACAGTAACAACAAAGTCTCCAATGGAGATGTTACTGGGCCCGCTCGAGCAAATCGACGATCAACGGGAGGGCCTTTATTTATATTTTATTATTTTTATTTTAAAGGAAATAGTACCCTAGTGTTTATACTTTTAGTCAGTTGTAGCATTGTAAATGTAAGATTTACATTGTAAAATTGCTAGCGTCTTCTATGAAAGTACTTTAGTCAATCTGTGCAGTGATTCTTGCATTGCTTCTCAGATGCCCGGGACCTCATTATTCAACATAATGGGAGCCTGATGGGGGCCTAGGGGACAGGTGATGCTATTTATCGTCACTTGTTTTCAGACACAATTTAAGATGGATACTTCTGAATATGTACTGTCCTCCCAGTAATCAAAACACATTACTAGATATTTTGGCTTATGAAAGAAGATGTAGCTTTAAAAGTTAGTCTGTTGAATAGTGACAGGTGGGTCTTGGCTTCTATAAATGTACAAACTGGATGCCCACACTGAGGAGAGAGAAACAGAGCTTCGTTTTGGAGCAGAAGAACAGATGGCAGTTGTGCACCTGGAAAGTCTCCTCTCCTATATTTTTTATGATGTATGATCATTGAGTGTCACTTTTTTCCTCTCTGCACATTCCATTAGAAATATTTTGTGATGTTGGGGTCAGAGTGATAGTACTACAGGTAGGGCATTGCCTTGTATGGGGCTAACTCCGTTTCAGTTCCCAGAACCCCATTTAGTCCTGAGACTATGAGTAGTGATCCCTAAGCACAGATCCAAGAATAAGTCCTGAGCAGGTATGGTTCCCATAGCCCTCAAGAAAGAAGTATTTTGAGTTTTAAGGCCTGTGGTGGTTGTGTTAATAGGGATTATTACTCTCAGAAACCTTTTCTTCCTCCCCCAAAAGGGACTCTTCACTTATTTCATTTAGTGCTCAGATAGTTGGTTATTAGCTAATAACTGTAATGGAAACTATTGATGGATAAAATGGACTTTTTTGACTCAGGTGTTGTTATACACAAACATATGCATTTGAAAGTGTACACAAATTAAAATGCTGAGGTTGTGTAATGTCAGAATGTTACTTAGAACATAAATATACCAAAAGGGCTATGTTACTAAAATTGATGACTGTGTAATTTTATTTACCTCTTGGGAATCAGTTGAGCTATTGATTCCATAGCAAATGCATTTTGATTAAGATCATGGCAAGATATGTTTGACAGCAGTTCCAAATTACTAGAGTTTATTACATATTTAATGTCTATAGTCAACTGAGATTGTATGTATCTGATTTTAGCTTAGAGAGATAAATCTGTCGATATTTTGTTCCAAGGACTGTATCGTCAGTGCTGTAAAATTGTCATGCCCTCTATAGAAATCATCCACCTTCCTGGATGGTGTGAAACATGGCAAGGGCTTAGTGCTTATGTTTATTCTCAATAGGGTTAGTATCATGAGTGTGGAAATTAATGTATTTCATGTGTATCTATGGTGCAATTTTCAGGTATATTTACTGACAGAATCTATACTAGTTAAGACCTGTTTCTGTTTTGGGTTTTTTTTTTTAATATGAGCACTGGTGATTTATGTTTTTTCTTATATACTTGTGACTGTATCTATTCTTAAAAAGTCATGGAGAAATATATCCAGGGAAAAGTTAATTTCTTGAAAGATTTGAAAAATCTTTTTTATTTTTTACCTTTGCATGAAATTTAAATGTGTGTGTTGTTTTTTTTTATCTCATGTAGAATTAATCAGGGACAATGACTTTTTTCCAAAGCCCGCACTGAACACAGGAACGCATATTTAAATATACTAACTGGAACATGGATGCCTTTACGATTTATCAGTTTTTAACTTTGAAGACTCTGGTTAGCTTGCACTTTTTGAACTAATGAGTTTATCACAGCCAGTGAGGAAAATGGTTAGAGTGTATCAGCTGTAAATTGGTACAAAGCACTAAAAGGGACATTAGCCTCTAATCAGATTCTAACAGTTCATTAAACCTGCCTTTCCACAATAGCTCTTTGTCTATCCCCTTCTTTGCAAAGCATCTTCTTCCCTTTTTGTCTGGGCAAGACCTCCTCCGGGGTAGGCAGCAATATCAACTCATCCTTCATTGTCTACCAACCAAACAGCCTGGGGATGCTTTGTTAAGGTAGATTCCTGGCATGGCTTTGAGAAGGCAGGGGAGTGGAGCTCTGAATGCGCCCTGCAAGGAGGCTTTCCTGAGACACTGTGGTGGCAAGCCAAGCTGGCTGCTTCCAACCATGGAAGCCAGTGACACATTAGGAATTGAGATCTTTGCCTGATGTGTAAACAATCTACCAGCCTCCATGAAAGGATTTTCGGCTTGTAACAAATTAACTGAGCTTGCTGGTTCTATCATTGTTTCTTCTGCTCCCAGCTAGTAGGATCCGTAATTCCCTAGAAATGAGGGCAAATCTAAAGCAAACTTTTTCAAAAAATGTATCTTGCCGATTTCAATAATATTTTGCATTTCTAAGGAAACAACATGACAGTTGTAATTTGTTTTCTTCTTTTTATTACCTAATAGACTAGGCAGCATGAAATTTTTAAATACTCCAGTTCACTCCAGAGTAAATTTGCCTTTCTTTCTTGTTGATTTCTCTAAGCAAATATTTGTGATAGGAAGTCCTATGAATTTTAGCTCTTAGGATATTTTTTCTTAACAAAAAGAGCCTGAAAGTGAGAGGAATAATTAGCCTTCCCTCTACTGCACTCTGTTGGTATTGTTTGGTAATAAAACGTTTAATTTATGATGTTTTGAAGTGCCAGTTGCTTTTATTTAACCCTATGGTGGAAAAACTACTCTAAGACAGGTAAAAGCCTGATGTTTTAAAAATATTGGTCTTAGTTACCGTACAGACAAAATATTTAGAAATCGATCAAATCATTAAAAAAAGACTAATCATTGTCATAATGTTCTAAGAATAATCTTTCTAAACACTCGAATCATTTTGATTTCTTAGTTAAGTTTGTATCTGACAGGAAAGTTGGCTTTCTAAACAAATATATGTATATGTTTATATACACATGTATGTATTTATTTCTTTTGAGGGCCACACCCAGCAGTGCTCAGGGCTTACCTCTGGCTGTCCACTCAGGGATCACTCTGGGCATGCTCAGGGGATCATTTAGGGTGCTAAGAATCAAACCCAGATCAGCCATGTGCAGTGCAAGCACCCTACCTGTAGTGCTGGTGCTCTAGCCCCTAAAGATATTTTAAAACATGAGTCCGACTGTAACCTTGCGTGAGTGATAAAACATGATTTTCTGATCCCCCCCACATAATAACCTTGATACAATATTTTTATAAATGGCATTTAAAATTTTACTGAGACACAATAGAAATAAGATTTTTTTTTAAATTTGACACAACATTCACCACAATAAGAAATTGTCATTTATTCTTCGGTTATTACTCCAACTGAAGAATTCAGCCTGACTTCAAGGAGTGTGTGTGTGTGTGTGTGTGTGTGTGTGTGTGTGTGTGTGTATTTAAGGTTCATATTTGGGTTTTATATGTAGAGATTTTCACTTGACCACAATTGCCATAAAAGCAAAGTTTAGTTATGCTAGAAGTATATTGGCTTGTTTCAAAACTTTAGACTTTGTTATTAATGATGGATATAAATTTATGTTTTACAAAATTCCTCCTGTATGAATTTCTGTACATAAACAGCCTTCAGAACTATTGCGGCAAGAAACCTACCTTATTTCACAGTTGCAAAATTGGATTCTGCTGTTCCTTGTTCCAGTCCCATATAAATTAATGTAAGGATTCCTTACTCTAGTTTATTATAGTCTGACCTCCAACCTCAGAGGTCAGAGAATCAGACTGATTAATTCAACTTCTTGGTCATTATTTCAAATGAAAGTTCACAATGGAGCGATAATTGGTTGTGCTGATATTTTCATTTAATTATACTTCATTGTTATAAAATTAGGTTAGCAGTACTAAATGTACTACTGCCAAGGAAGACCCTGCCAGATGTTCTCTTTTGAAGGCTTATAACTAAATCCCCCCCTCTTTTTTATTACCAGAATATCAACCCCTTTGAGAACAGAATGTTAATGCTTGATGGGATGCCGGCAGTCAGAGTCAAAACAGAGCTTCTGGAATCTGAACAAGGGGTAAGTGAGGGTGTAAATACGTGTTCCCATTGTCCTCCATACTCCAGTCCCTTTCTGTCATCATGGAGGTTACCTGTAGAGCCTCCTGGTGTGTGCAGAACGCTTCTGATTGTTCATTTGCGTAAAGGTTTTCCTTTCCTGGAAAACTCTTCTAAGGTTTTTTGTTGGTTTCAACTCATTTGCAACCTCAGTTATTGCTCATTTGGAAACGATAACTCTCTGAAATTAGGAAGTATAGAAAACTTAGTAACCGGAGGTTTTATGTAAATTGGTGAATATTTCAAAATGCTAATAAAATCTAATGGAGAGAGGAAGTATTAATGAAATTTAATCAGAATATAGTTTCAAAGCCAGAATTGGTTGGTTCTTTTTTTTTTTTTTTCTTTTTTTTTTTTTTTTTTCCCCCTTTATTTTATTTTATTTTTTTTAAAGTTGTAGATTTACAATTTTTTGTGCTTTGGTTTCAATTATACAATGATCAGATACCCATCCCTCCACCAGTGCCCATTTTCCACCACCATGGATAATATCCCTCCCACCCCCATCCCCCCATCCCCCCGTCTCTGTGGCAGGGCAATCCCCTGTGTTCTCTCTCTCCTTTCGGGTGTTGTGGTCTGCAAAAGAGGCATTGAGTGGCAAACATGTTCAGTCCATAGTCTACTTTCGACATGCATCTCCCCTCCTGGGAGGATCCTCCAGACATCCTTTATTTGGTGCTCCCTTCTCTATCTGAATAGCCCTTTCCTCTAGGATACCCGGCTGGCCTCTAAGTTATGGAGTAATCCTCCTGGTGCTGATCTCAGCTATTCTTGGGTATTAATCTCATACTTTGTTACTTTATATCCCCCAGATGAATGCAATCTTTCTATGTCTATCCCTCTCTTTCTGACTCATTTCGCTTAGCATGATACTTTCCATATTGTACCACTTGTATGTAAATTTCATGACTTCATCTTTTCTAAGAGCTACATAGTACTCCATTGTGTAGATGTACCAAAGTTTCTTTAACCAGTCATCTGTTCTTGGGCATTCAGGTTTCTTCCAGTTTCTGGCTATTGTAAAGAGGGCTGCAATGAACAAACAAGTGAAGATGTCACTTCGACTATACCTTTTTGCCTCTCTGGGATATATTCCCAGGTGTGGTATTGCTGGGTCAAATGGGAGCTCAATTTCTAATTTTTTGAGAATCGTCCATACTGTTTTCCAGAAGGGCTGAACCAGTGGACATTCCCACCAACAGTGAAGGAGTGTCCCTTTCTCGCCACATCCACGCCAGCATCGGTTGCTTTTGTTCTTTTGAATTTGGGCCAGTCTCTGAGGTGTGAGATGGTATCTCATTGTGGTTTTGATCTGCATCTCCCTGATGATTAATGATGTAGAGCATTTTCTCATGTGCTTTTTTGCCATTCGGATTTCTTCTTTGAGAAAGTTTCTGTTCATTTCATTGCCCCATTTTTGGATGGGGTTGGATGTTTTCTTCTTGTGGAGTTTAACCAGTATTTTGTATATCCTGGATATCAACCCCTTGTCAGATGTGTATTCGGTGAATATCCTTTCCCATTCTGTAGACTGTCTTTGTATTTTGGTCACTGTTTCTTTGGAGGTGCAGAAGCTTCTTAGTTTAAGATAGTCCCATTTATCTATCTCTGTTTTCACTTGCTCGGCCAGTGGCGTGGCATCTTTGAAGATACCATTAGCTTCAATGTCATGGAGGGTTTTGCCAACTTTGTCTTCAATGTACCTTATGGTTTCTGGTCTGATGTTGAGGTCTTTAATCCATTTTGATCTTACTTTTGTACATGGTGTTAGGCAGAGTTCTGAGCCTATTTTTTTGCATGTAGCCGTCCAGTGATGCCAACACAATTTATTAAAGAGGCTTTCCTTACTCCACTTCACATTACTTGCACCTTTATCAAAGATTAGATGAGCATATGATTGAGGAGAGATGTCAGTGTATTCAATCCTGTTCCATTGGTCTGCAGTTCTGCCTTTGTTCCAGTACCATGCTGTTTTAGTTATTACTGCTTTGTAGTACAATTTGAAGTTCGGGAGGTTGATTCCTCCCATTTTCTTTTTCCCAAGAATTGCTTTAGCTATTCGTGGGGGCTTATTGTTCCATATAAATTTCAAGAGTGTTTGCTCCATTTCTTTGAAGAATGTCATGGGTATCCTTATAGGGATTGCATTGAATTTATACAATGCTTTCGGTAGTATTGCCATTTTGACAATGTTAAGTCTCCCGACCCATGAGCAGGGGATATCTTTCCATTTCCTCATGTCCTCTTTTATTTCCTGAAGTAGCGTTTTGTAGTTTTCTTTGTACAGGTCCTTTACTTCCTTAGTTAAGCTGATTCCTAGGTACTTGATTTTCTGGGGCACAATTGTGAATGGGATTGTTTTTTTCATGTTGCTTTCTTCTCTCTCACTGTTTGCGTATAGGAAAGCCATGGACTTTTGGGTATTGATTTTATAACCTGCAACTTTACTATACGAGTCTATTGTTTCTAAGAGTTTTTTGGTGGAAGTTATTGGGTTCTCTAAGTAGAGTATCATATCATCTGCGAATAGTGAGAGCTTGATTTCTTCCTTTCCTACCTGAATGCCCTTAATATCTTTTTCCTGCCTAATCGCTATTGCAAGTACTTCCAGTACTATATTGAACAGCAGTGGAGAGAGTGGGCATCCCTGTCTCGTCCCTGATCTTAGAGGGAAGGCTCTCAGTTTTTCCCCATTGAGGATGATGCTTGCTGTAGGCTTGTGGTAGATGGCTTTAATTATGTTGAGGAAGGTCCCCTCTATACCCATTTTGGCTAGGGTTTTCATCATAAAGGGGTGCTGGATCTTATCAAATGCTTTCTCTGCATCTATTGATATGATCATATGCTTTTTATCTTTTCTTTTGTTGATATGGTGGATTATGTTGATTGATTTCCGAATGTTGAACCATCCTTGCATCCCTGGGATGAATCCTACTTGGTCATGGTGTATGATCTTTTTGATGAGTAGTTGGATTCTATTTGCTAGTAGTTTGTTGAAGATCTTTGCATCTGTGTTCATCAGGGATATCGGCCTGTAATTCTCTTTCTTTGTGGTATCTCTGTCTGCTTTTGGTATCAGTGTGATATTTGCTTCGTAGAAACTGTTTGGAAGTGTTTTTGATATTTCAATTTCGTGGAAAAGCTTAAAGAGTATTGGGAGTAAGTCCTCTTTAAAGATTTGGAAGAATTCACTAGTGAATCCATCCGGGCCAGGACTTTTGTGCTTGGGGAGACTTTTTATTACCATTTCAATTTCCTTGATGGTGATAGGTCTGTTCAGGTATTCCAGGTCTTCTTGGTTCAGCCTTGGGAGTCTGTAGGAGTCTAGGAATTTATCCATTTCCTCGAGGTTTTGATGTTCCGTGGCATAAAGCTTCTCAAAGTACTCCCTGAGGATCCTCTGAATTTCTGTGGTTTCTGTTGTAATGACCCCCTTTTCATTTCTGATTCGGTTTATTAGGGTTTTCTCTCTCCCTTTCTTTGTGAGTTTTGCTAGAGGCTTATCGATCTTGTTAATTTTCTCAAAGAACCAGCTCTTGGTTTCATTGATCTTTCGGATTGTTTTTTGGGTTTCCATCTCGTTAATCTCTGCTCTGAGTTTTATTATTTCCTTTCTCCTGTTCGGGTTGTGCTCCTTTTTTTGGTCCTTCTCCAAGCTCTTAAGCTGTGAGGTTAGGTTACTTATGTGTGCTCGCTCCTCCTTCCTGAGGAATGCTTGTAGAGCTATAAACTTTCCTCTTAACACAGCCTTTGCTGTGTCCCATAAGTTTTGGTAACTTGTGTTCTCATTTTCATTCGTTTCTAGGAATCTTTTGATTTCCTCTTTGATTTCCTGTCTAATCCACTTGTTGTTCAATAGTGCACTGTTTAATTTCCAGGTGTTTGATTTAGTTTTCTGTTTTTGTGTGTGATTTACTTCTAATTTCAGCGCATTATGGTCTGAGAAGATTGTTGATACAATCTCTACCTTCTTAATTTTATGGAGGCATGTTTTGTGGCTCAGCATGTGGTCTATCTTGGAGAATGTTCCATGTACGCTTGAGAAGAATGTGTATTCAGCTTTTTGTGGATGAAGTGTCCTGTATATATCTACTAAGTCCCTTTCTTCCATTGTTTCCCTCAAATGAAGTATGTCCTTGCTAAGCTTGAGTCTGGTTGATCTATCAAGAGGTGACAAAGCAGTGTTGAAGTCTCCCACTAGTATTGTGTTGCTATTGATGTCTTTTTCCAAATCTATGAGTAGTTGTTTTAAGTACTTTGCTGGTCTCTCATTAGGTGCATATACATTTATTATTGTAAGTTCTTCCTGTTGTACAGATCCTCTGATCAATAAGTAATGGCCTTCACTGTCTCTTATGACCTTCCTCACTCTGAAATCAATGTGGTCTGATATAAGGATGGCTACCCCAGCTTTTTTATGGGAGCTGTTTGCCTGTAGGATTGTTTTCCAGCCTTTGACTCTGAGTCTGTGTTTGCTTTGACTATTGAGATGCGTTTCTTGCAGGCAGCAGAATGTTGGGTTCAATTTTCTAATCCATCCTGCCACTCTATGTCTTTTAATTGGTGCGTTTAGCCCATTGACATTGAGAGAGATTATTGTTATGGGATTTTGTCCCATTGTTATGTTAAAATTGGGTGTATTTGAGGGGCCTTTCTTGCCTTAAAGTAGCCCATTTAGTTGTTCTTGTAACCATGGTTTTGAGTCTATGAAGTTCCTTAGCTGTTGTTTGTCTGTGAAACTGTGTGTTGTTCCTTCTATTATGAATGAGAGTCTTGCTGGGAAAAGTATTTTGGGGGAGGCATTTATTTCATTGAGTTTTTTTACTATGTCCCACCACTGTTTTCGGGCCATGAGGGTTTCATCAGAAAAATCAGCTGTGAATTTTAAGGATGCTCCTTTGTAAGAGATTTCTTTCTTCGATCTTGCTGCTTTCAGAATTTTGTCTCTGTCTAAGGTTTTGG